TGCAATAAAAGCTAAAAGTTATGTGAGTTTAAATTAAATTTTCATTACTCATGTCGACTTCATTCTATGGCCGCGTAGTATTGTAAAATTTCAAGTAGTCTTTAGTCATATTTTTTTTTTCTTGCTTTTTTTTTTTCTTCTTCTTGTCGTCTTCACTTATTGCCATAATCATTAAATGTAATGACCGGCTAATTATATTCGCCTAATTAAATGAGATAAATGAGAAGAAGAGCGAAAGCACAAACACTTTGAAATTAAAATTAAATGTCTTAGAAAAGTTTAATTAGCTTTCCATTTTCGATAAAATCTTCAAGAGTAGAAACTTTGAAAAAGCTGTTGATCTTCATTTGAAGAATTTTTAAAAACTGCAGTAATAGATGATTCGTACAACGAATACTAATTTATATACGTTCTAATAAGATTGCTTCTTGCTGCAGCTGCAGTGGGAATGAATGTTATTCCGAAGTTGAATCTGCAAAAACTATTCCCTCAAAGCTGTCATTTAATTCCAAGGTTATTGCAATTTATATTTATTTTAGGAAGTTATACTTTCTCAAACGGGTCGAAGTTATGTCTCTACGAAAATTCCAAAAAAATATTGCATAGAATTCAAACGCCAACGAAGAATGGAGATGTACTCATTTTATCATAACATTTGCGGTACCTAAAAGGAAGCATCCTTATAAAGTACGTATACTCTTCTTCAGTGTGAAATTCTGAATTGATCTACTTATGTCTGTCCGTCTGCATGGTTAGTTTTTGACGCTTTCCTGCTCACAAAAATAAACACATCCACTTCAAATTTGATAGGAACATTAGAAAATGGTCTTGGTGGGTAAAATGGTCTAAATTGATCAAAGAACGTGCCACATGATGAATGAATTGTGATGGCCACGCCTGATTCAACTTCAATAGAATATAATATTCTTATTTGCTTTTTTTTTCCTTTCTTTATATGCTTTTCGAATGCTACAGTTTATGTCCCGTAGTGAACTATGCAAACTACAAGCAAAATACATCTTGAGGTCAAACGTTGAATATAATGTGTTACCGAAGATAATTAAGTGTAAAAAGTGCAAGAAATTTGTTGACTATCTAAACAACCTTAATTACGCGTTCCTAAACAGAAATGAAGGCAGAAATGCATTACGGAATCATAAAGAATGTGCTCTAGTTAGTGAAAGCAAGCCATTTTGAAATATACATAAATTTCAAAGTAAAGACGCCATGTCATGGCATTCGTTCGAGGTGGTATGCTTTCGTTATCTAATAATAAAACACAAGATTTCGCAAAAAGATTTCTAGAAAGTCTAGAATATAGAAACTATAATCCTTATAACATCTACAGTGAGGAGAGCTTGCACGCCTGACCTCAATTTCAGTTCAAGTCTCGAAGACGGACGAGATAATTGATGATTTTGTTAAATGTTTGGTACGTCAAGCGCGTCGCAGACAATATCCAGACTTGGATGACATCGAAAACATAGCTTTGAAAAACATTTCTTATAAACGAAATCGATTTTTCACTTGCATAATAAACCCATGCATCGATATCTAATATTTTTCAAATGGAAAC